ATCATTGACTTTCTTCTTAGCTTGCTTTCCAATCCACCAACGCTGGCTGTCAGATTACAACCGCTGAAGATGATATTGTGTGAACAGGCATCTACGACAGCGCAGTCGCCGCAGTGAATTTTGGGGTAATTATCACTACCCGTTTGTCGGCCGCCCGCCTAGTGGTGATATTTCGACAACCTGAATTATATCTTCCTCTCATTTCAGGACAACAGCGGCCAAACGAACGCTCCTCACGAAGAAGATAATGCGTCTCACAGAAGGACATATGTAAACTTCAAAACGACCACTATATCTCAAAATTTCAAGACGTCCATTTTGAGCCTTTTCTCCGTTAACGATGGATGGATTAGTTAGGCATCTTGTACCCCTAGCCGCATGTTATTGGTGTGCGTCGGTTAAGATCGATGAACCCGGAGGACTTTCTAGCATAATTCGGAACCTATAATGAGAAACTCTGTAATTTGCCAGTCAACGTGCACGATGTTTAGCAAATAATTAGCGTGCACTACGGAATTTTTACTGGCAGCAACGAATCATTGACCAAAATTTGTTTGCACGAATACGCCTACGCGTATGTTGCATATCCGAAGGCCACTTAGATTCTAGAATGTTGATGAAATACTCTGTAATTTGCCAGTCAACGTGCACGATGTTTAGCAAATAATTAGCGTGCACTACGGAATTTTTACTGGCAGCAACGAATCATTGACCAAAATTTGTTTGCACGAATACGCCTACGCGTATGTTGCATATCCGAAGGCCATTTAGATTCTAGAATGTTGAGGAAATCTGTTCGGTGGGATATTACCTGAAAGTTACGTTCATTGTATGTGTCTAATTTTCCACAATTCGCGATTTTTTATCATCAGCTATGTAGCGTGGGACGTCAGGAAGTCAGCGGTATTCGACGTTCGAGCGGACGGCACACGTCAATTCTGAAATGTGCAGATATACGGACTGGTATTAATGAGTCCATACGGTATACACAGCACACCTGCGCACTGGTCGGGGGAGACAGAAGAGAACACCGAAGCACGGTAACGACACGCGTGTATTCGAACCAAACCGAAACCGGAAGTCAGGGGTGTACAAAGTTGAGTCAAGGTCACTTAGGGGGGTGTACAAGCGGGGTACTCTTCCCTGTCCAGGGCCCGTGGTGATTCGTCCGTGGTACCTGCAATGGGGGAAGAGAGAAAGGGAGGGGCACGTATAAGGTCATATGAGAAACGGGCAAGCAGATACATTCGAGTTTCAAATGCGTTACATTGCCCCCTCCCGAGTCTGAGCACTGTCCTCAGTGCTCAGAAGGAGTGCTTGTAACAGTTGAACGGGGTGGTCCAGGACCATGTGGAAGAATGGAATGTAGCACGTCACTCATGTTGCCTCCTGAGTTGGCAACCTTAAGGTGGGTTCGTCCAACCACAGGGTGCCGGTCTGCAGAGGTGTTGGCAGTAGCAACGGAAGAAGACAGAAACACAGGAATGGAGGGTGAAAACCAACAATCATCTGGTTTCCAGCACCGGAAGTTACATGTGTGTCCCTCAAAGCCATCAAATCCGATCGAGCATTTGGCTCAGTCCGTCCTTGTTACTATCCATCCCTTATCAGTACCAAGGCTTTATTCGGCTGTCGGGAATATCCGGTAAAATATAGTGGTGAACACTTCTGCTGGTACGTCCTTTGGCCGTTTGACTGGGGAGCCTTTGACCTCATGGGGTGGATGTTTTCTACACGGAGTCCGTAACACACAAAAATAAAGAACGATGCACAGGGATTATAAGACTACCGAAAAATTCCATGAACACCTGTTTTAGCATAATGTTGGGTGCAAAAGTGCGGCATTTTCTAATGTCTGCTGAGTTGGCTACTGCAACCATTGTTGAGAATTTGTTCATTAATTTTCACGTAGTTGTTCGGCTCATCCCAAACTGCTGAACGTGAGTGAAATTTTCAAGTTATATCATCTATTTTCGGTGTAAAAGGGCTTTCACATGGAACATTTTAGGAGCTCCCGCGGGGCGCAACTGCATTTTGCATGTTTTTAGAAACCTTCTGCTGATAAGGGACTTTATAGCCACTTCCTGTTGAAAGGATTTCTATAATGGATCCTCAAAGCGCACAAAACCAGGCAGTCTGTTCTTGGTTTCTTGCGTTTTCAGATATTTCACCAGTGAGACGGATCACAATGATCTATCAACAGATTTCCTCACTATGCAAGTGGAATGAGGTTAATTGAAGAACCGCAAGAGTTGTTCTTTATACTTCTTTTGTGGGCCTGGCACATTGGGCGACCGGAATACTCGGTGGACGTCACTACAAAGTTCTTCATGATGTCGAACATATGGACGTTGCTTGTAAATGACGTCGCGTGTACACGATCTAGGGAAGTAAGTACTTCGTAATGAACAGACCTCACGGCCTGCATTTGGGTCGGTTTATCTTAAGCCGCGCAGGTGTACTAGTGTTCTTCTGCCGAACCAGTACAATTTTGGTTCTTAATTTTGAGAGCAACAACACCAATGCTCGCACTGTTCACCGTTAAATCTGTGAGATGTCCATACCGAAACACGCTAATAATAAGACTCTTGGTTTACTGCGGCTTTTGTTCTCGTTTCACCCATGGATTAACCGTTTTCCTGTTGATTCAAATGAGCTGAACATTTCTCGTGAGCTGACGAGGCATCGTGGTTCCCGAGGCGCGTGTTAACCATGAAAGTGAGGCAGGGCCGTTTAGCTGTACGGCATAGGTGAACTGAGATTCTCCTGCATTACATAGGTAACGTTGAACGATTTTAACGGAACGTTCAGCATTTTTCCCGCGTTCATCGTGGAGCCGATGAACTTACATCCATAGAGTTCTCCAACCAAACCAATATGACCTGTGATCCTACACCGGCTTTGTTCCGCCAGCGTGAATCGCTTTGGCTAACTCATAATCTGGCTGCCCAGAGAACTTCACATCTCCGGTCTGAGTACCCCAACCCTGATGCCCGTTATTTCGCCATCCATAAACCGTGCAATTATGGCACGGTACTTTCACGCTCATCATGATGCCACTTCCGCAACTTTTCTGCTCGTAATATGGACCTCCTCTCGCCCTTTAGGAATCCTTGCTGCAGATACGAAGTAGCTGTTTACCTGGTCCCAAACACGCCTGGAAAGAGTTTGCCCTAACTCACTTAAACTTGCCCTTGGACTTGAAAGTCTCAGTGCATTTTTGGCTCATCCTCCTCGCAAAATCTATTATTTTTTACAGATACTTTTACCCCCGACGCGCTCCAACAGTGACACTAGTTCCTCTATACAGTTTCACTTATCCGCACTCTGATCTCTCCACCTCATTGCCCCCGCTTACGCTTCTCGCGGATCTCGCCATTAACACAGCCATCAAATGCCACGCAGCCGCATTGGTGTTTCTTAGTTATTGTCCAAATTTGCTGTTCGAACCACTTAAGTACTCCTCCTTCTCCAGATTTGTCCTTGTGTAATTTCCTCTTCCGCACTTTACGATTTTCTTCAACATGCCAGATAGGATCCTTCAGTTCTGCCTTCACACGGTTGTGTTATTACCCACCGCCGTTAAGTTGTAGCTGCCTTATTTTACTTCAATCTGAAAAGTCCCTTAAAAAATGAGAAAAACTAATAAAAACGCATTTTTGCCCTCGGCGTCCACCACAAGTAGATTACATCCGTTTAGACATGACCTAATCTGCGTTGGATAATGCCCACTATTCAGACGACTGCCATGCCTCCGCGCATCTTGAGTTTCTGCAGGTGACGTCAGTCGCGCCCTTATTTTAACTGTACCATTTCAATCATGCTTGATCGTACGTCACCCATCATCTAGGAATAACCATTATTATCAGAATTACGCTTGGTGGTACACGGCCGACAACTTTACCAACCCTAATTTATTGATGGTGGAATACCCTTTATTCAGCGCTATCTGTAATCACTGACATTTATTCCAGTGAATGACTTTCTACATCCGGGGCAATGTCACACAGATTGTCAAAGAAAATTCAACAGACGTTTCGTACACGATTATGGCAGCGTTTGGTCCTCATACCAGTTTGGTTTTAGCCTAGGATTGCGGCCATATTTTAGAGAAATTGAGCTTATACACGTGTGTAAGAACAACTCAAAGCTGGTGAGTGCTCACGCTATAAGGATCGCTCTGAATAACCGTCCTTGAGCTACAAACGCGTCTGCTTCCGTATGCGTTTATCCCAGCAGAAGAGCAGTGGGCCTTTTACAGATTTTGTCTGGACAAGTTTACTGCCCGCACAGCTACGCTTCGCACCAATGCACTGATCATGTCGCCTCGAAAAGTGATGAAACGTTTGCAAGCAAATTGCCCAGCTCAGCGAACAAGCCAACGACCATCTACGCCACCTGAGCTACCGACATTTTCCTCCACAGTTTACCGCAGGTTTTGATCCGTTCAGCAATTGTTTCTGTCCAGAAGGATACGTATATCGTGAAAATGTTTAAACGGGTGAGTTCTCCTGGTAAGTCGAGATATGACGTTTTAATAAAACTGTTTCATAATTTGCGGTATTTGCTGAATCTAAAAATCGATCAGTCAACTGAATCACATACTGCAATAAGCCCCATATATATGCCACATAGATATTTACATACAACTGACGGGGAGCTCGGAATCACAATAGAAGCTGTGAAATCTTTGTCTCTTTCTGTTCACAGATTGGTGCTGGACAACTCAGGCCTAGAAGCAGACTGCTGCTGGCAGCAGTTTAGAAAAGAAAAGGACTGTCTGGCAGCTCAGAATCGAGCTAACAATGTATACTTTTCAAACAAGACTCTTAATATCAAATTGTTTGCTTTGTCCGTTTTCCTGTAGTTTTCCGAATGTATAATGTTTCCTTAAGTGGGTAATGTCCAAGTCAACAAAGATTTTTAATTAAGAAATAGCCTGCAATGCGCTTGAATAATGATCTGCGTGAGGCTGTGCCTGGCTAAAATTGAAACCGCTTTGTAGTTAGTTGTGGGAACAGAATATGGTCTGTGTTGTCTTATATGCCACAGCGAAGTTGTCGGGCAGTGCTTTCTAAACGACGCCCTCATTGAAGGTTGGTTAGCATCGCCCCCTCTGAAAGTAGTGGGTGTTATTGCGACTCATAGAACACTTCTTAAGTTGTTTTTTTCAACGAGAACATCAGCAATCGTCACATGGTTTTTATAAAGAGCAGAAAAGAGAAGCCTTTGTGGCATAAGTTGAACTTATACGGCGTGATCTATTATATGCCACACTCTTGTACTGATTCATGTTTCACCAGGCGAACAGAAGCGCTGTGTGGTCGCAGGTGTCAGAAGTACCTTTATTTACTAACCAAGTCTAGCACTGGCCACTGTCAGGTAAGCACCAAGAAAACGCAACGTGACTCTGCTGCCACGAATTCCCGCGGCGATTGTCTGGCTATCGACCCCCGCCCACATCGCTATTGTGGTTATTGATAAACTACAGAAGACTTCTAAAATCACACAGAAATGTGGTAATTTGGCGCTATCGAGATGTATTTGAGGGCGGCGAGTTACGGTCGTACACACTAGACCCTAGGCGGTGAAGCAGATTTTCGAACCGGTGGCATACTGTAAGCGCTGTTTTGCCACAGGAAGACATTTTATACAATCCAAAAAACAGTAAGCGGACTCCCTCCAGTGACGCTGAAGTTTACACGTATTTCGAACGTGCTAGGATTGCAAGTCTGTTTTGATGCTTCAGATGGTTCTTTGGTAATGTTGCTCACTGTAGTCCAAGGAAAAATATTCTTGCTGAGTCATTCTCGTGGAGTTGGGTGGTCGCGCCTATTTTTGCGTCGTCCTCGTGCTTTCCCAAGAAATAATTTCTCCACGCAGGTCGATTTCTTGAACTGTCCTTCTCACAATTCTCTGACTGTAGCGAAATGACTTAACTGGCCACTGTCAAAAGTATATAGAGATATTACATTACATTTCAACTACAAAGGGTAGCATGCACGAATGTGTATAATAAAGTGACACTCCTACTCTAAGGTTGTTAATCTTCTTTAGCCAACACGATCTTCATTTCACTGAGCGCTTGGTGTTGCGGAAAGTTCCTGTGTCAAAGATTTCCTACGGTAGGAGTCGATGAGTGGGTTTTGTTACGTGTTTCTTACAAACCTAGCAAAAAAGATACTTTTCAGGTGTGTTGGTAGCACTTTTCTTACGCTTTTGGAGTACAAGATATGTTAAAACAGAAGTGTTAGTGGAAGGCTATGTTTTGCCAAGTTGATGAAGAAAACGTTACAAGACTCAGGTCCTGTACACCGTGGTTGTCAAATTTTTCTCGAAATAACCAAAAGCACCTAAAACTTCAGGTGTGGGCATTCGTCATGTGTCACCAATATGTGGTCTGGTATCCGAATAGAGGGATCAGCCGCTTACTAGAACCAGTTTGTGCATAGAAAGTGGAATAAAAGGTCTCTTGAAACAGAGTCTTGAAGAATCTTTTGAGCAACGTTCTAGTTGTTGCCTGAGGAGAAGCACGCTACTCGACGTACGTCGTACGTAGGTACAACAGAAATGCCTGTTGCACTCTCAAAGCTGGCAAGGACTGATTACGAAACAGCTGATGTGATAGAATTGTCCGAGAGTTTTTGCTAAACAAGTGGTATTGCAGCTGCGTTACTGGTTACGACTTCAAAAATTTGGTAAAATTTCCGAATACCTGCTTCAGAATGATGTGCCTCGAACGACGGTTTTCTCTGCTCTGCGGATGCTAAGCTCTTCTTCTGATCTTCTTGTGCCTTATAAGCCATTACCTAAAAGCATTGTCCCATCACTGTTATGAGGGGATGTTGTTAAACAATCGTCTGGTGGTTTCATTGTTTGGCCCTTAACATGCAGCTCTTCGCCAATAAATGGGTTGAGACTACAAGTTTGAACAAAATGACCGGAGTGTTGCTTCAACTAGGTGACCGCTTGCTCTATTAATTGCGATCACCCGTGACTAATTCTGTTGCTTGCTTCAAGTACATCTAAAAGATAGTCGTCTTCCAAATGATGGGTTATACCTTCTTAGAGGTTACAAACTACGGAAACCATAAAGCGACCAACGTAAAATTCTCAGAAAAAAGTCTTACTGATTTTCTTGCTTCAAACGGGGGATCAACAGAAAAAACAAATCTGCGATAAGAATAAGAAAGTAGGTATGGTTCACGTGGGCAGTCTGTCGTATTAACGAAAATCGCTTATGGGGGATAACCACGGCCCAAAGTCTATGGTCTCCTGTACGCGGTTTAGAATATAGATCCATGAGGGCCTGAAAAAAACTGATGTCGGCCAGCCGAAAACAGAGGCTGACACGTTCAATGATTCCATCAATGGTCAGATTAGAGCATAAATATTGTGGCTTTCTTAATGCATGGCTTATTTGTGCCTGTGAGTTTTGCATTAAACATGATGAATTTGGCTCAAGCACCCAGTCATTCGAGTAGAAGTTGAACTCCCTGAAAACAACAAATGTTGTACCAACTCGTCTCGCACGCGTTTTGAAACTGCTCTTGGTTCGGCCTCTTGTAGACCAAATCCACATTGATACGTTTTGTTCCGCTTATCTCTTGAGCCATGTAGTTTCCCAACAACTCTTTTAGCTGATCCTTGCATGCCGCAACATTAGAAGTATCATAAAGAAATGGACTCAGAGTATATTCGACACATACGAATGAGTACAGGTCACGCGGCCCATTTGCGTGCCCGTTGGCGGAGTTTAGGGTATTCCGTTCTCAAGAATTCCAACCCACCGTCACCAGCCCATAGATTTCTATACGGAAACGAAGAGAAGAATAGATTAATGAAGCATACGACAAGGCCGAAGGTAACAGCGTCACAACAGTATCGTGGAATGGAACCACGCAGACGCTCAAATGCATCATTCGAAGCCAACGCCCTCGATATGTCCGGCGCGCGCCCAGCGCTGGCAACTTCAACTGCGGGCAAACTGCTCGCCTGCGCAACACCAGCATTGATGCAAGTTTCATGATGTTATTCAACCAAAGTGATTCTCGAAATTAACCTCGTCGGTTTGCTGAACTCTGTTTATTCCGTTTACATATTCGATAATCTCCGTTCAGGCGTGTGCATTTATGATATTCCACCCATCCAAGAGAACGACTGAGGTGCAATTTATTACCCGTCTCAATTGTAATTTTTTCAACACACCGGCTAATTTCACAGTTTTAGTGATTTTATTCCCAGTGTTCGTTTGAACCTATGCATTTGCACCACCTCCTTTACACCTGACTTTCCAACATCAGTGACATTGATGTGTCCACTCAGTTTCAATGTAAATCATACTCCTGAGATGAAACTTAAAAATTGTCTTCATTTCCAATTCTTTCCTCTCCATCTCCATTTTTCATTTTCTAAGCCTGGTAATTTATTCAACCACCCAAGGTCACTACTGGCCAGCAAGGGCTCTTCAGATCAGGCCACCCAGCTTCATCGTTGGACTGGTCGTATCTCACGACCCAATGTCCTGCTTTTTGGTTCCCACAACTACGACGCCTGTTTTATTGTTTGTACTTACTTCATCGTTGTGTTATCGCGCGCTGTGTTCATGCAGGACAGCCCGATCAGGCCTTACTTGGTATGTCACCTACAAGTTGCGAAACAAACACGATTATTATACTTGGTTTGTAACTCGGTTGTCCATTCAGCTTCATCCAAGGCAATAAGTCACAGTTTTTATACTGTTGCTAACGTAGCCTTGCCTATCCGGCGTTTTCCTCATGTTTAGCCTTCCCCAAAATAAAAAAATTGATCGCCTATCGGAAATGTCTCTCTCCGTCATTTGTTGCCTGTCATGCCTAAAATAGGATAGCCATAAGCTTTGCTGTTCTTTCAAGCCTTCCCCCAAAAATCTTGAAAACACCTTCAATGAGTCATATATTTTACTGATTTGATGTGCAGGCACAAACATAACAGTTAGGCACTCCCTTTTCTCAGTTCATCCAAATCAGCCTCACTCGACGATGATTCTTAAAAAATGAAGTACAGTCCAATGAATTTTGGCAAAAGGGTTGGCACATCTTAGTGTCAAAAATGCTTACTTACCAAAAACGATGACGGTCCAGTGTTTACACTGATGTAGCGACGTCGATCGTACGCAATGGTGGACACATGTTGGGCTGAAGCTAAAGAAGACTGTACGCGGGGTAGTAGAAAAGGCGTCTAGCCTTGAATATCAGACTTGGATTCGGGAAAATCAGGCGCTTTTAAACGCATACGCAAGACCGTCACTACTGTGATCAATTAGTGAGTGGAAGTCTGATGTTCAAACTGTTCTGTTAGACCAACATAATCATAGAATTTTTATTTCCATTTCATTTCGGTACTTTGCAGTTACATATCGGGCATTTTTGTCTGACATTTGCATCAGTTTTGGTCAGTACCGAAATTCAGCAAGTAAACACAAGCAAAACGATGCAATGAGAACACATGACGTATGCTGCATTTGGTTTGGCGCTACCCTTTTGCACTCCTGTTAAGGTTTGGCCTTGTAAAACCTACGTCCGTCCGGCAGGGTCTTGGCATCCCATAGCTTGGTCACCACGTCAGAATAGCAGTCGGCGTGAGCGCTCCTGAAAGGAGCTAAGAGGCTCCCACTCAGAAGTAAAACGAAGTCGTCGTCACCCTGCAATCCCGAACAAAACGCATAGGATATGTGAACGTCCAGTTAGAATTCAACTTACGTGTCGTAATTTGCTGCGAAGTTCGGGAAAGTAATTTAGTAGCAGAAGCTTCGCGAGGCACACTCAGATGGGATTCAGTGGATCTCTTCAACAGTGGGCTGCCCCCTCGGCCAATCGCGTGGTACCAGGGGTCGTGCCTCCGTGAAGCGACTAAACAAAATTGGTTTCAGTGCCACGAGCATCTACAGATCTCCTTCAAGCGGTAGACAACGCTCTTTATCACAACAATAGCCGCGATATGGCTGTCCGTCTCGGGTAATCCAGCAATAGGGTGGACAGTCGACAGCCCACTGAGATCGGAGAGGACATAATCCATTGGTATATGTGGCTAATAATGCTAGAAGCAACCGCTCCCAGGCGGTGGGAGAACATGACAGTAGTTGAGCGGTGGTGTAATGTCAGCTGTGACTTCGCGACTAAATGTCTCATGCAGCTTGTGTCCTTCCACGTTTCCAACCATGTTAATGAAGCCGACAAGGCTATCAAGCTGCCTCTACAATTTACCGACAATTGATGGCTTTAGCTTAAACCAAAAAAGGGCGCATCCTTCTCCGGTAGATTGTACTCATCTGATCGCCTCTGACGAATAGCCAACCGGCTCAGATAGTGCAGATGTAAGTGTGGGATCTAATTTTGGGGATCGAACGTCCTTAAACACCAAAATGAGGCATGCGCGGGGAGCCATGCTGATTGAAAAGTGGGGCGCGCGCAGGTACCAGCTCAGATGTCAACTACCTGAGGACACTTGAGGACTTACCTGACAACATCACTGTTTATTACAGTTCATTTTTCGGGAACGCCTTGCAGCCAACAAACTGATGACACTTCATTTTGGTGTGCGTTTTTAAATATTTCCGAGAATCTGACTGGTAGTGTATGTCGTCATTTGGTGAACCATCCAGAAAACGTAGTCGTCGTCGTTCCAATTTCTCCCCGGCATATTTTCAGTGCTCTGAGTCACAGATTCCTGCATGGGTCAAATCATTGGCATATTTTATTCCTAAATCCTGTGATTTGGCTACATCCACAGAACCAGTTCCTATTCTGCGGCTAAGGCAAGTTTCAGTAGGCTCGTAGAATGTTTTCAAGTATACAAAAACTGGCAGTATACGTTCGTTTTTAAACCGGACCTTATGTTGAAGGTCCCAAATTATTCTCCGTTTGCGGATTTTACGTCGTCCACGAACTTAGTGATACTTCTGAATCGTTGACGTGCGTACGGAGCAACATTGCACCTCGGAGGGCCGCTATTCCTCCTCAAGTTTTGATGCCTATCTTACCTACGGGAAAAATTGCGCCCGTGTGCAAAGCTCGTCGTCCGATCAGGCAGGCAGCTAGCTAGCCCACAGACTTCAATCTTTAGTGGTATCAAAGAACGGCTGATGAAATCCATGGCTAATCAGATCCAAGTAAAATTATCAGCTTTCCCATCGCTGCCTACCTGCAAGTGGTTGCATCCACAAGGACCGCTTCCTTGTGCATAGACCCTTGCATTTGTTGGAGGGTCTTTGAGGAGGGTGCACTATTCTCACACCGACGTAACAATCAGGAGCATTTATAATATTGGATGTAAAATCGACGGGTCTGTAGTTATTTGACCACTTGCTTTCCCTTGGCAAGTTAGTAGACCGGCGTTCCGTGCCCTGTGACAACTTCATCACGTTGAAGTTACTATTCCAAGATGTGGCTAGTTTTACAGATATTGGTTTGAAGGCATATGAGACTTTTACCTAATCCTGTTGTTTTCTATCTCTTCCTCGACATAAGATCCTGCACCCACTCTTCGGTGAATATCTTGTCCATAGCTAGAGCATCAGCTGAAGCAAGAGTTGCTTGTAGTTTTTCAGCAGCATTTTGCCGTTAATCTTCGGGAAAACCCAGCACACTACGTCAACTTCCACCTCTAGGATAACTAATTCTCCTTTGTTAACCGACACCGCCATTAAGAGAGCCAGCCCAATCTCGGAGGGCTTCCGGTGTCGCCTGACGGTCTCCAGTTTAGACGTTTGTTCCCGCGTTCCTCCTCCCTTTGCCTATGCCCACAGAATTTCTACTTTTGTGTCAGTGTGCCGCCTCCCTGTCTTTATTAAAGACTCTCAAGTGCGGTGTGGCTTTTTAGGTTGTTCATAAGTTACGGGCTATCACCAGTTTGTCTGCTCCATTAGTGTAAGTGCCAAAAGCTGGTCAGGAGTTGTTAATATCCAGGGTTCTATATAAGACGCTAGGGAGCAATGCAGAAAAAACAAAGTGAGGCGTTTTAACTCAATGGCGGCAATCCGGTGTAGATCAGAACATCAAAGCAAGATGTCAGTAGCTGAATATGAACAACAACTGGTACATTAGGTCGACTCAATTCGATTCGATTTCCATGAAGGTGAACGGCACAAACGGGCGAATTGACATATGTAGACTCAGGCCGGAAGCCGACAGAAACAAGCGGTTTTACTACGGTGCACCATGCTCAAGGGTACTTATATTGAATCTTATGTTATATGATTGCATGTAAATTACTGAAACAGAACAAAGAAGAAAATAGTTTTTGCAGATAAACAGCTCAACAAGGTTGCAGACCGTGGCCCGTGACGTCAAGACGTTTTTATCTGGCTTGGTCGTGAACACCACAGAGACAAATAATTTGGGCAAGACGGGACGTTTCCTAACATAACAGCGTGACAACCAAACGACTAGCCTTTTAGAGAAGAGGGTTTTGCTTCTGACTGAGCAAACTCAGTCATCCTGTAGAAGACACTAGGGCAAAATTTCAGAGGACCGGCCGGTAAGGAGTTCGCACGCATTCGGCGATCCTGCATTTTCGTTTTTTTTGAATGTTCCCTATCATCCCTTTCAACAAATCCAGAAGTAGCAGTCTACAATTGTAACGGTGGATCCTACTCGAGGCATGCAATTAGTATGTGGTTTCTGGTACCTTCGCCCTGATTTGATGGAATGTAGGGTTCGTTTACATTAAGCTGATTGTAGACGAGTACCAAGGAAACTTCAGGATGACGCTTTTAAGAAGAAGTTGAATATCCAACTTTCAAAAGCTAGGTGCATTTTGCCTCCCTGTAACTGTTCAGTTAGTGTTTTTTGACAAAAAGTTTCACACCAAGGGCTCTCGTTTCATTTGGTGCTGCAACCAGGATGAGGATGAGGATCCCGTGGCCATGACCTTCTGAAGATGGAGGTGTGTGGTCCTTCCTGCTACATTTCGTGGAGGTTGCGGAGGAGGATGGACTGACGACGGGTCGTGCAAGATGACGGAACTAAAGATCCTCCTCAGAGGCCGGGC